TTTTAGTTTGTTATTTTCTGCTATTTTCATATTGTGTTGTGTTTTTTTGCTGATGGTCATCAATTTCTAGGTTCTCAATATAATCAAAGGTGCAATTCTCTCACACAATTTTTCTTTATTACATCTGTTTCATTACTTATATAATTTTGATAAAAGTTAAATTGTTTGGTTTGTTACTTTTTTAGTTATGTTTTAAACAAAGCTCCCTTTCCATTTGCATAAAAGATAGGCAAAATGGGACTAATAAGCAGTAAACCATGATTAAAAAAAATATAGTATTACTCAAACTTTTTGCTTTTATTTGCTTTTTCTACTAGATTATTTTTCTTAGTCTTTCTTTTTTTCTTATGGAGCTTAGTAAAGGGTGTTGTAGTAGTCTTTGTAGCTTTTCTATTAGTGGTTTTGGTGAATGTTAAAGTAGTTGAATGAAATTGAATGGATTAGTATGACCTATGCACTGTACACTAGATTTCTTTTTCCCCCATAAGAAAGTGTTGGCTAGGCCATTATATATTTTGGTGATTGTTGAGAGTATGTGTTGAAAATTTAAACCAAAAAGAAAATGTGCATAATGAGGATTGAAAAAATTGAAAAAAGAAAAGAAAAAGGAAGATAAACATAGATAAATCTCTTCTTTTTGTTTTTGGTGAACACATAGACTAATCTTGGGTAACAAAATGCCTTTCTTAAGACAATATACGTTGGTAAATTTTGAGTTACTTTGGAAATAACTTTGTGCTTAGTTTTGGAATCCCCCATTGTCAAAATAAAAATTGATGTCTAATTGTCTTTTAAATTGGTTTTTCAGGATTTATAAATTTACATTTTATTTAAGAGAAAACTAAAGTTGTAGGTTCTTTTTTCCTCTCTATTTCTGTCTTCTCCTTTTTAACCTCTTGGAATATGAGGACAACAAAATCGTAGTGTAGAGTTTTTGTTGTCCCATTGTTTTTCTTGCCTGGTTTAGTTAGTAAAGGAAAACAAGTGTTTTCATTTTTTGTCAAGTACATAATAAAGGTAGTAAAACTAGATAAGGTATGTGAAGAAAGCGAGTTGGACTGTGTGTGATGGCAAGTGGTGTTTGATAAATGATAGATGCTTTTGAGCAATTAGAAAGTTTATTACATACTATGTGATGTTGATTTGAAAATACTGAACATTAGACATTTTTACTTTAATCCATCTAATCTAACTTTATTATTATTTTTCAAATTTAATTTTTATTTTTTTTTAATTTCAGGTATCGATATTAGAATGGCTATTGAACGACTTTCAAATCCTTTTAACTTTGGCCAATTTTTAGGGCAACAATTTCATTTTTAAAATTGTCTTAGTTAATGTAATTGATGGCTTCTTACAAAAAGTACAAAATAAAGGAGAAATAATATTGGGATTAATCTTCTCCTGTCCAATCTTCTCCTATCCAATTTTATTACGGATATACACTATCATCCCAACTTTAATCTTGGGACAAAATGTTTGGAGATATTGGGATTAATCTTGGGATTAATCCCAACATCAATTTTATAGCAATTGTCATCCCAACATTAATCTCAAAATGTTGTCATTGGGGTTTACCATCCCAACATCCCAACACAGATGGACATGAGTGATGACCCATCAGTATTGATTGTCCTATATATACTGCAAGGGACTCCCAGATTGGGGACACACTAATAGACCTTCTTGAGACTCCTTTAGCTTTGCCATTCTATGTCAATAACTCAATTTTTTTTTAATGTTTTTTAATTTCCCAACAGTGGCTTCAAGACCCATCGTTCAACACCAAAATAGAGGTATTTTACATTGTCTACTGAATTTCCCTTTCTCTGCTCTTGATCGCTATTGTTGGTTAATTATGTTGTTTGGATTTATTGTTTGAATTCTGAATCCTGAAGGATTTGTTGTTTGGATTTGTTGGTTGATAATATTTTGTATTATTTTTAAGATTTCATATACAGCACACAGTGCTTCCCTTTTGCAATAGTCAGCCTTCTATTTGACATGTAACTTTATAGAGATATATCCAATTTTGGAGTTAATAATAATATATTTTAGAGTTGAGCCCATCTCAATCTCAATTAAACAGTGGACGTTTTATTTCTAGGCTTTTAAGTCTATAGAAAATTTGTCAAAAATTTACCAAATAGGTTTTTGTTTTCAAGCTTCTTTTTTTCTCCTTCCTTGAAAGTTCAAACATTGAGTTTGCATTTGCTTTGATTGTTGGAAAACTTTGTTCTTTACCTGTTCGCAAAACTTTTTACTTTATTGTTAACTGTAAATGAAATAATATAACAGCAACTTAAAGATCGCATAAACACGTAATTGTTGGTTAATTATGTTGTTTGGATTTATTGTTTGAATTCTAAATCCTGAAGGATTTGTTGTTTAGATTTGTTGGTTGATAATATTTTGTATTATTTTTAAGATTTCATATACAGCACACAGTGCTTCCCTTTTGCAATAGTCAGCCTTCTATTTGACATGTAACTTTATAGAGATATGTCCAATTTTGGAGTTAATAATAATTTATTTTAGAGTTGAGCCCATCTCAATTTCAATTAAACAATGGACGTTTTATTTCTAGGCGTTTAAGTCTATAGAAAATTTGTCAAAAATTTACCAAATAGGTTTTTGTTTTCAAGCTTCTTTTTTTCTCCTTCTTTGAAAGTTCAAACATTGAGTTTGCATTTACTTTGATTGTTGGAAAACTTTGTTCTTTACCTGTTCGCAAAACTTTTTACTTTATTGTTAACTGTAAATGAAATAATATAACAGCAACTTAAAGATCGCATAAACACGTAATTAAACTAAAATAAAATTATTTTGGCATTAATTGAATTTCATTTGAAAACTCACCTATGTTCTTATAAAGTTTAATTTTAAATCCCTTCATTTGATTGGAAACTTCCACAGCTTCTGTGAACTTAGATAGATGTTTTTGAGTTTGTTTTATGGTGGGTCACCAAAACTCAACAATGGTTGTTTGCCTATACCATTTTCTTGGTATAGAAATAAGGATTTTTAGATGGAAGGCATAATTTTCTTGCCATTTTATTTTTAAAGACAAGAAGGGTTGGGATTACAATTATATTAAATTAATAATTGATAATTGATAATCTATTAAGCCTCCGTTTGGGAAGTGGGTTGGCTTTTTGACTTTTTGGCTTTTTTGGCTATTTTAGCCTGGGCTAAAAAGTTTGGTTTGGGAAGGGCTTTTTGACTTTTTTTGTGAGAGAATAATGTAATGATTATGGGTTAGATGTGATATTTTGTTTTTTGTGACTAAAATAGCCTATTTTGTCTTTTGTGGCTAAAATAGCCAAAAAAACCCCGTTTAGCTCTTGCCAAACGGAGCCTAAATAGTATTGGGATTACAATTATATTCTAATCCCAACATTATTTACACCGTGCCTTCAGGCACGGGTATACGCTAGTGTATATATATTGTTTAAATAGTAAAAGCATTCTTAATTAAATCTAAGATCTTAATTTTAAATCTTACTCGCACACCTTTGAATAATATTTTTTTTTATTTTAAGATAAAAAAATTTGTCATGTGACAAAAGAAAAAGTCACTACACTATTAGACACAAAATCATGTGTTTACATATATAATAGTATAGATTATTATTGAGTTATTATTATTATTTTTTCGTTATTGGCAATTGTTTATTTTTGGAGTACGATAATAAGAATTATAAAATAAATGTATTTCTCTACGTTTTATTCACTTCCAATCAAGTGTTAGTGTAGTGGTCATCTACTTAAGTTTCATTTGGTAAGTGACTTTTTTAACTTAAAAGTTAAAAAATTACTAAAAAAATTAAAAAACTAACAACTTATACTGAAAAGTCAAAGATTCTCTTTTCTTTCCACTTTTTGTACATCTTTTCGTAAAAAATTAAACAATTATCTCAAACATACTAATTTTTTTACATTACATTTGAGCCAAAAAATAAAAAATTATTAAAAAGTCTGTTCCCAAACAAGGCCTTAATATCCATTATCTTCCCACTCTGTTTTTTTGGAACGGAATCCTCATTGCCCCCAATACATGACATATATGATTAATTAAAGGTAATGTTAGGGATATAAAAAAATTTACCAAATAAATGATTAAATGTCTAATGTAGAATCTACAAAAAAGTAAACTCTTTATGTAAGACATTTGATCATTAATTTGACAAAAAATTTAAGATCTATAACATTTTCTACTAATTAATATTGACTTTTACTCCATTGTCACAAATCTAACATCCACCCATTTTGTCAAATAGTGAAAACAATTTAATTAAACATTTTTGTACGAAAGACTTCTTGCAAATGTGAGCTCACTCCATCAAGACTAATTTTTTATTTTATTTTCATATGATCCTCAAAATGTGGGCGGGCGGGTGTAGACCAGCAAGAGCCATCCTTACATTGTTGATAATGTGCTGCTCCTGCTCAATGCTTATCATCCTTATTGCATTAATTATCCCTGCCATCCATTTGAACGAGAAAAAAGAGAGATCCTTTTCAACAGAATTGTGCCAACAGTAACTGCTTTTTTCTTTAATAATAATAATACTAAAACAAAAACAAAAACAAAAACAAAGAATAATACAGGCAGTTTAGTTACAATGTATAACTCCAGCCGAGCAACTTCAAACTCCAATACAGGCAGGCAGGCAGGCAGGCTCATTGTATATTGTAACAAAATAAATTTCAATAATATCCCCACCTTGGACAATTTCCACAGCAATAATATCATAGGTCTTTTTATGTTTCTCTTCTATGTAAAGAACAAACCATGTGCGGCCGGACAGCCATTGGCCAACCATGGATTAGAATATTAAGTTTCTCTTACCTTTTTACCTCACGGGCAGACCCAAAAATGCACCAGTCTGTAACTGGAGAGATTACGAACAGATAGGTCTCCATGCAGCAGTCCTTCTGATTACATTGCATCAACACAATTCACTAACGATCAATAAGACTCTTCAACAAAACAAAAATGGCCTATCAGAGAAGCAACTGATATTTCATAGCATGCTAAAACTAACAATTTTAAGTTTTCACAATGAGTCACAGCACAAATTATGATCTAGCAAGATTCTCTACAAAAAAATTGTCAATCTTCATGAAGAAGAAAAAAAGAACAGGGTTGTATACTTTAAAGTTCAAACCTTTTCCTCTGATTAATTCAGTTTAGCTCTTTGCTTCTGACAAATAAATTGCTAAAGTAACTACAAGTGAATGCCTGCAAAAGATCATCTCCAAACTATCATCAGTCATTCCGAGTGACTGCCAAGTTGGCTTCTCCCAAGATGAGACACTCTCAAAGGAGGAATCAGAGGTGCCTCTTCTTCCACTGTAATATCAGAAGCAGAACTATTCCATCCATTCTTCCCTCCATTGGAGCTATTATTACTGCTGTCAGGAACATATAGGTCTGATGACTTCTTCTCCATCCTCAGGTCCTGCATTATTTGAAAAGGGAAGAAGAGCACCAGAGAGTCACAAACCTTTTGACATCCCAAAACTGAGATGTGGCAAAAAAACTGTAATTGCCTTCTCTTTTTTAATTAAAGAAAGGAAAGGAGAATCTCAATATCATCTTTTGGTAATATATTAGTTTTTTTGTCACAGAAGAATAAGAGAGCCACCACCAGTGTTGTCAGAATCGTATGATACATTAATCTTATCATATGAAAAAAAGATACATATCACGAATTAGTATCGTCAGCGAATTGAATCGTGAGATACGTTTTCGTACATATGATTCGTAATGCATGATTAATCTTTACTTTCTTCACTCTTGGCCCTGTTCATGACCTTTTTTTCACTATCTATCACCATGGTCAACACTCATTGAACAGTAATGAACCATATTCACAGAAAACCCAAACCCAAATAAACTCACAAGCAAAAATGACTATCATACTCCCTTTGCTACAACAAATTGAACTACTCTCATGAATCTAATTAGGTATAAACCCGAGATTTAGGCCAAAATATATGTTTAGACCATGACAACAAACAATATAACAAGAACAACTATGTTAGGGACTACTCATATCATATCCAAACAAGTCTTGAAGAATATTTTTGGTTGCAAATCATGAACCAAATTAAATGTCATTTATCTTTTGTTATATTAAATTTTCAATTTTCTTCCTAATAATGAGTTGGATACTTTGGGGTTTTAATGAATGTATATTTATCTCTTTAACCAATATCTAAGTTTCTTAAAGACAATTTTTCATATCATTGGTTATGTGATTATTTTATTCTTGCAATATGTTTATATATTAGATGAAAATACTTAATTGTTATCTATATTCATATATGTTAATGTCTTTTATGATACACATTTCGACAGGATTCAACAACACTAGCCAACGCTCAACACCTGAGTATCCTCCTCGGTTATTGGGTTTAGTTATTTGTGATAAATGATAAATGATAAATGCAATTGATTTGCCATGTTTTAAACAAGATCATAATAATAAAGGGATCACAGTATAGGTAACACTGGCATTGCTTGTATATGCATAGCATTGCCATTTACAAGAAAAGAGAAACATTTACCACAAGGGTAATAATTGTGCTTCAAAGCATATAATTGTACCAGGCACAAACTTCTAGGCAAATAGGAAGGAGGTTCTAAACAAATGTAATTTACTAACAACAAACAAAAGGAGAACAATCAAGCTAAAGGTACAAAATATTATTTACCAGAATGACCTTAACTGCTCTTTCTGGGATACTTTCCACAGGGAGTTGGGAAGCACGAACATCCTTGACCTTCAAATAGTTGTACATGACAACTCCACACAAAGCTGTGGAAAGAAATAGTTAATTTTATGTGCCTTCAGGTTATTAGTTTAAAGCATATGCATTAATATGAAATCAAATTGTACCGATTGCATAGCCGATAACGTTAAGCCTCGTAATTGTTGACTCAGGGAATATGATAGTCGAAAGAGCAATTAGTATCCAGTCTTTCAAAACACCAGCAACTCGTATCGTCACTGCTCCTGTTCTACCAATTACTAAGAATATTGAGAAATTCAATGCCAGAGCACAAACGGCATTTGAGAAAAATATCCAGAAATTAAACTGGATTTGTGTAACTTCCATGTCGGGCTTCTCTAGTAGATACCAAGGAACAAACAGAAAGAAAAAACTGCACACAACAAAAATGATAATGAGCATCTCTGCTAGAGAGAGAACTTACAACTCTAGCACACATAAGAGAGCACTATATAGTTGAGCTGTGAGCAAAACACAGGTTTGTAAAAAGAACCAAAAGGATGTGCAAGTCTCATAGTATGAGGTCACAACTGACAGAAAATAAAGTCATATAACCATATTTTAGCATTTAATAGGAAAGGCTAGACAACAGTACACCTCCTTAGTGCAAGTCGTGATCTTCAAAATTTATAGTTGCAAAATCTGTGTGAGATTTGACGATAGATGATGGGAGGTTCACAATATCTAATGCCCAATATGTTAACATGCCAATTTCTAACTCAGACAATTTTCCATGAATTTCACATCACTACTTTTCCATAAGGAATGATGCAAAGAAATTCCCAAGAATATTAGGCTTCGTTTGGTAAGACTTTCTAAACCTACATCCGCAACACTGGGCCATTATGAGACTTTGACTCGTAAAAAAAAAAATCCAAATAAACCAACTAAAACCATATGATAAGACATACCTGGCCCAGGTCTGAAATTTTTAAAAGCATCTTCAGCATTAATGCGACATTCAATTGAATGTCCTCTAAGCACAATATCTTCCTGTCAATAAGAAGCCATGACGCATTAAATAAATTGTAATTTATGCCCAGAGTATTCTAAGCATCCTTTCACAACTCTACACCCAAATCGTAACCAAATACATAACAAAAAAATTAAAATATTTAAAAATATTTTTATAAAATAGAGTTTGAATTTATTTTTGTAAAATATTTTAAATTTTAAAAAATTAAAATCGTAATATTTTGAAATTAAAATATTTAAAAATATTCAAAAAATTAAAAAATTAGAAAAATCGTAACATATTTAAATATTAAAATATTTAAAATCTTAACAAAATTAAAATATTTTTTAAATATTTAAATATTTAAAAATTAAAATATTGATTTGAATTGAGTTTTGAAAAGAGTTTTGAATTATGTGTTTGGTTATGAGTTTTGAAAAGTAATAAGTATGTTTTGAATTGAGTTTTGAGAAATGGGTGTAGAATTATGATTTGAAAGCTCAAAACAAACACCGCACTCAAATCAGTGGGTGGAACTATAATTTGAGAGGCTTACCAAACGAAGCCTTAATTTTCAATGTATAGTTCAAATGTTTTATCTAATTTTTAAATGAATTACACAGTATCAGTGCCGACCATTGGTATGAGACAATCCCAAAAACCAAGGTATTGATGAGAAGCAAACTAATTTAGAGATATCCAAATTTAGTCAAGCAATAAAATGCAGTATTTATTGCATCTAGCATGAACTACTTGATTAATCATCCTATTGAAAGTCTACATGATGATAATAAAAAGAAAAGTTGAAGTAATAATAGACAAATTTTTCATGCTAGATGATTTAACAAGCATGGTCTACACATGCACAGACCGCTGATGTATACATAGGATTCAGATGTAAATATGAAGACAAGAAGTTGAGATAGAGTACCTGCATGGCGCTATGTAATACAAGCTGGTGACAGGATTAAGTGTTAAACCCTTCTTCTGAAGAAGCACTTGAGTTAAGACCAGCCTAAGAGCTTCAGCAAATATCCCTGTGACTTGATAGACAGTGCCCACTACATTGAAGTGAATCTCCCCATATGAGGAAATGACAACACCAACACTTACCAGCACCATGTTCAAAAATACATCACACCTTAATTTGTCAGTACCACAAATAACAGCCATGAGAAATGTCGCCACTGGCACTGTGAAACCCAGTATACACAGCAATTAGCTAAGTGCTACAGAAATATATTTCAGAAGTAGTGAGTTAGCGAGTGACATTTTAAACATACTTAGAGCTTTAAGCATCTGGATGAAGGCTACAGAAATGAACAAGTATGCAGTGTTGCCAAACCTGCATTGGAATACAATATACTTTTAACACTATCAAACAAATACGCCAACATAATAATATAATACAAATTTCCAGTCATTTGGAACTGCAATGAATATCACAAAACTACAGATAAACATCATTGTCCAAGTAATATTATACAAGTAAGATAGGATCTGGCCAACATTTTTCACAGATAAAAGAATTTAGACAACAGAACAGAAAGAAACGCATTTCCTATCTCTCAACCAAAAAATTGCCCCATAAATAATACGGTTGAAGAAAAGATTAAGGAATTCCTGAATATACATCTTATTTTAATGTGATAACAGAAAGCAAGTGATGGCAGGCGGAAAAGAAGACAGGAAAGCAGAAATAGGATGGTGGCAAGTGTTTAGCACAAAAGGATGGTGCGGGTAGTGAAAATATGAAGGGATTGAGCCCGAACACATTTTCCAGAGAGACTTGAAGGAACCTTGCTTAGTGAGTACCACTCTTTTTTTTGAAAAGCAGCGAAGAATTTTATAAAGCATAAGCAAGAAAACGGAGAGAGGACAAGGAGTCATGGTAGGCACAAAGATGGATTATATTGTTGGTAATGGTATGTGATGTGTAGATCGTGGACCTTCAGGGAATCATGATAGGCACTAAGATGGAGCAAGATCACTAGAGGTGAAGATGGAGAGAGCTAAGGAAGCCTTAGAGTAGAGAGAGATAGTGGTAGTGAGGGAGGGGACTTGAAGTTTGCCGAAGTACCCATGCTTCATAGAATTTATAGGCCAAAAGACCCAACTAACACTTATGGTGCTAAAAACATAACTATGCCACTAAATCATATTACATCACACTTCACAAGGTATCACATGACTTGGTCAATCTTGATTTTTTGTGCAGAGGCCTTCTAAGACTGGACAAAGTGGAGCCAACTCAAAGGGGTGAGCCAAGCAACATTGACGAGCAATCCACAAGTCTCCAACAATCCCATGCGGGGTCATAGGTTGCTCGGGCATCCCATGATCAAGGCACCAACCCCAAGGGGGTCCCTAGGCCTACTCCCAGCCTAAGTAAACTATACAGCGTCATGCCATCCCATGACCACCGAGTGGTTGAGGTAAGGTGCGATGAAGTGCATGGCGCCCAAGTGGGCAGTTGTTGAACGGTGGTAGCAAGGTGAGCAGATGGTCGCAAAGAGGAGTATCTGCTCATGGAGTGGGCAGAGTGAGGTGAGCAGATGGTTGCAGAGCAAGGCTTATGCCTTGAGGTTATGGGGTCCACTCCTTGGTGATTGTATGACCAATCAAAGGTATTCAAATACCTATTACCCACAGATAGGACAGAGAATGCAAGCTAAAAATTTCCATAAATAGTTCCACAATTTCGTGTTTAATAAGCATTAAGATCAACATTGAAACTAATTAACATGAATTCTAATCTGATGCCAATCTTGGATAGGGTCACATTTGGAAGCATCTTCACCGTTGGATAGACTAGCAAGTATATTTATCCGAGTTAACAAACAAAGATACAGTATAGCAGCCACTGGGACAAATGTCTATAGGCCATACAGAACTTAAAAGCATCCATTGGGGCAAGCTGGAAAGCTCTTAATGCATCATAACCAAGGTTTTAAAAAGCGGCCGCAACCGTTACGTAACGCCGTTACGTAACGGTTTTGGCGGTTACCGCCACCCGTTACGGCCGCTTTTGCAGTGTGATTGAGATTCACAGGTGTGTCGGCCGTAGTGGCCGCCATAGCGGTCGTAACGGTGTCGTAACGGCCTGTTACGCATCGTTACGTAACGTTGATTTTTTGTATAATATAAAGTCATTAATTATTAAAATAAAATGTAAAAAACTCAGTTTATAGTGATTTTAAAATATGAAATATATTGCATCATACTTAAAAATTTATAAAAATTGATCAATATTTATTTTTAATCCAATAAATATGATTATGGAAAAAAAATATGCGTATCGGTAAGTTTTTTTCAAATTGTGCAAAAAAAGCAGCCACTGGGACAAATGTCTATAGGCCATACAGAACTTAAAAGCATCCATTGGGGCAAGCTGGAAAGCTCTTAATGCATCATAACAGAAAAATTCAGGAAATACATAGAAGCTCATGCCTTTATGACAGATGAAACACAAATTCAGTATTCAAACCAGAAATTTAGTGTTCAGAACTTACCACAAGCTTGATGCAAAGAAGGCACTTATAGGGATCACACAGGTCGCGTATCTGCACTTACCACAAGCTTGATGCAAAGAAGGCACTTATAGGGATCACACAGGTCGCGTATCTGCAAACACACAAAACATCCTCAGGGAAAGGGAACTTCGGAAGAAACAGAAGCAGATGTGCTTGAAGATGTCTTACATTTCAAATGTCATTTTGACAGGTGATACAACCTGCAAAGGTAGAAGGATATAAAAACTATGTCAAGCCAAAAAGAAAAAGGGATAAATAAAAGACTTTGCAGGGCAGGAGAATATAACAAAGAGGGAGGAAAAATACATGAAATAAAATTGTATCGCTGTTCCTGGAAAAGTTTATTATAAATGGCACAAATTTGCAACTTCGAAGGTAAAACAATGCCATAGAGCAAGGACCCTGCTCCTTGTGTGCATGTGCATTAGCAACCTCAAAATTCATTGCTACATGGTCGATACAAGGGTGCACATGCAATAATAGGAGGCAAAGCAACAACAATGTAGAGCACATAAATGAGTTTATTCACATAAACATGTTTTCTACACAGGATAAGAATGCAAGTGAAGACTTCAGTGATGAAATTATTAGTCTAGAGAACTTCAAGCCATGAACATAAATAATAGGTAAGACTACATTTCTTTATATTCTGTGTAACAAACAAGCATCATACAAAGTTTTAATTTCTAATTATCTTATAGAATATTTTATCATTTTTATGCAGAGGTAAAGATAATACAGCATTGAAGAGAGTATTTCTGACTTGCTACATTCTTTCATTACCCAGGCACACTGTTAAACATCATATAAACAATAAAGATTTAAATCATTGGCATACCTCTCCACCTTATACTACACTCACCAGCAATGAAGCAAAGTTCATCAGTTTTTTTTTTTTTTACTAAACTTAGCCTTCTTAAATTGGATGAAATTATATGAGTTTTCGCTCACTGAAGTTATTGCTGGTTCCAGTTGATAAGGAGTTCAAATATCCATACAGTCATACCTTCAAAACCCGAACAAGAAAGAATGCCACCATGCCAGAAAATCCCATGTGAATCATAGTGAGTGTTATTGGAAAGGGAAAATTGAAGTATTTGGGAGAAAGGACCCACTGCAAATGAACCAAAAAAAAATGATATGTATATTTACTTAAACAAGTAGTTGTAAGGGATGAAAATTTCAAACAATATAAATTGTAGAAGGAAATCAATAGAAATAAATGCTATTTGAAAAGGACAAATGGAAGAAGTGATTGACAGACACCACAGCCAGACCATGTTACCCCCTTACATAGGCCAATCAGGGCCAAGAATAGACCACTTGTTTGCATTTATAGCCAATGTAATGCATTGTTTGCAAAACAAAGGCCCAACTACTAATCAAAAAGCAAGGTTTGAGCTCGATAAGAATTTTCCATCATCTAAAGCTAATATCCCTTAAACCCATATCCTTGAAATTTAGTCACTATTAACTTTTCATGGATTCACTTTTTGCAGATGTTGGAATGTGTCCCACATCGCTTGGAGTTGTCCCATCTGTGCTAGTTATAAGGCTCTAGTTTCCCTCTCTTTAATACCTGAGTTTTAAGGAGAAGTGTGGGCTGGGCTTTTCAACTTGGTATCAGAGCTTAGTTGGGCCTGTAACTGGTGGGCTATTTGTCTAGCTAGTGTGTGTTGTGGTCCAGGAGAGTGTGTTGGAATGTGTCCCACATCGCTTGGAGTTGCCCCATCTGTGCTAGTTTTAAGGCTCTAATTTCTCTCTCCTTAATACCTGGGTTTTAAGGAGAAGTGTGGGCCGGACATTTCAACTTGGTATCAGAGCTTAGTTGAGCCTGTGACTGGTGGGCTATTTGTCCAACTAGTGTGTGTTGTTGTCCAGGAGGATGTCTTGGAATGTGTCCCACATCGCTTGAAATAGCCCTATCTGTGCTAGTTATAAGGCTCTAGTTTCCCTCTCCTTAATACATGAGTTTTAAGGAGAAGTGTAAGCTGGCCTTTTCAACTTAGTATCAGAGCTTAGTTAGGCCTGTGATTGGTGGGCTATTTGTCCAGCTAATGTGTGTTGTGGTCCAGGAGGGCGTGTTGGAATCTGCAGACATTAAATTTTATTCAAGAGGGAGAATAATAATCATTCTAATTGGTGCCTCGTTATAATCACTCCAATTTCCAAATATATCAACACTTCAAATTTACTTTTTCTTCCTCATCATGTAGCCCACATCATTTAATCTATTTAATATCATGTGTATGCAAAATATAATAGTTTCCAGTGTAAGTTTAATTATTTATTTCATCAAAGGCTTCTTTAGTGCCCCAAGTAATTGGGATAAAAGTTTCTTGAGTTGAATCCAAACTGTTGAGTTATGTGACTTCTCTAAAAAAAAGTTATCAAAGACTAGGTTCTCGCAATGATGTACGGCACGGATGCATTAATAATACTTTTGGGAGATAATTTCCCTTTCAAAACCAAAACTTAAAAATATGCTCATAAATTGCATCCATGCACATAAAACTTAATAATAAAACATTGGATAACCACATCAGAAAGAGAAGCTCAATCAAGTGAAACCTAATTTATTGCAAAGTCCATAGATTTAGGTATATTAGAAGCTTTGTGCAATTCAAAATAGTAAGAACTGTCAAATCAAATTCCCATAAAAAATAAAAAAAATAAAAAAACAACAACAACAACAACAAATGAAGTATAGTAATTTAAAATATTCAATTCTACACCAAAAATAATGAAACAAATCAAATAAAATAGGTAGAATTGTTTGTGTCATTTTACCTTGTTGTACAGAATTACTCCTGATGAAAGCAATATATAAACTAGAAGGTAAAGATACGTCAACAAAAGCTGTCTGTTGATCATGTTGTCTGCTTTATTGGCACCCCTTTTATTGGCAGTTAACAGCTTGCCAAGCTTCTTAAGAACCCAGGCACCCCACCTGAAACCAGAAATAAATAGGATTCCACAACAGTGTTTTTTAGATATACAAGCTGCAGTTATCTAATTAAAGAGCAGGCATTCATCCCCTTAAGCAATGATCATCAGTATGCCAAGTGCACAACATTGAAGTTGGTACAAGCTGGAAAAGAATGAAATGGAGAGCATAATGATGCGAAATATTTGAAATTCTCAACCAAAAAAGGACCTTGTTTTCAAACAGATATCACGAATAATGTAAGACAATCTTGTAAGGAAAAGCAAAATAACAAGCAATTTGTAAATGCTTTTCTACAATTACTATTGAATAATCAAATCTCTAAACGAAAACAATAAATTTTAAAGTATTTCTACTGCAAGGAAATTATGTAAGCAAGCTTTCTACTGCGTTGTGTTAGAATGAAGTTTAAGCTGCTAGTACATAACTTCATGGTTAAGGGTCCAAATGGAAATTGCACTTTTGAGACATTCCAAAAATTTGGGAGGCCAACACATGATTCAAAACAATCTATGCAGGTGAAAACATGAGAAAGGTTCCAAAAACCTTAAAAAACTGTGTAAGAACAGTCTTATACTTTCCTGCCGTACAATAATCTAAGCCATGCACTGCCAGCAACCTATCCAAGGTTTCTTTGGGATTTCTCCGATTCTGTTCGGCAAAAATTACCAATCTTCTAATTATTTCTATGGACAAAAGAATCATAAGAAATTCTTCAGAAATCATTCCTTCACTGCTTTTCGTCTAACAGTTGCTAACAAGTAACGACTTTAGCCAGTCAGAGAAGTATCAGTTTCAAATTAACCTCCAAGACAATAGTTCATATAAAGCTCTTCAGACCAATAACATAACCATAGAAAAAATTTATTCTCAATGCCTTCTTTGCAGGTATCTATACAAAATAACCAAGCTTTTTTTTTTATCTTTTCTATGTTTTCATCATAAACGCTGCATTTAACTTTAGTCAGAGACAAGCAGATCATTCAATGACCTTGACCACCCCCTCCCAGCATTTTCTATAAAATGTGATGGTGAATCTGTGTAACAACCCTCGTCACTGTTTACCGAATAGCCACTGATTACCGATAAATTACTGATTAACTACCGATTACTGCTAAACTGAGACTGACTATGATTGGTAACTGAATTGATTGAAGTACTGAACTGACTGACTGAAATCTGGAACTGAATTGATTAAGTATATCTGTTTAATTGTATGTCTATCTGTTAACTGTTTGATTATCTGTTCATGCCTATGTGTTTAAATTGCGAATTGAAGGCCTTATCGGCGGCCGAACCAAGAATTGATTGATGTTTTAGGACCATCATAATTTATGTGATTTTATGGCATATTTATCTGAAAACTGATTTGGTATGATTAAATTAAGTTAATTATTGATAAATTGCACAACTTAGACTTAATTACATTAGTGCCACTTAGTGGCCACTACCTAACACATATGGAGCCTTGACCAACACTTGACCAACACTTTTCCTCAGCCATTCTCCTTGTTATTGCCGACCATAGAGAGAGAGAGACTAGAAGAGTTGATTTCATCTCACTTTTGCTTGAGTTTTGCTTGATAATTGAAGTAATTGAAGAGTTCTTTGCAAAATTGAGTTTGTACATCTTGAACTACAAGACCTAAGGTAGATTCATTGCCTCTTGTGTATGTTTTGAATTGATTCTTGCATGGTTTTGAGCAAGTTGAAGTCTAGAGTCAAGTTATGGCTCTTAATTGTTGAATTATAGCTTAATTCTTGCATACATGCCTATACTATTGAATTTTGAGTTGATTCCATGGAGAATTGTCACATGCATGCTCATAGTTATGTTAAGTCCATGTTTTCATCTTGTTTTTGCAAGAGTTAGCTCATTAGAGCATGAAATTGAAGCTTTGAAATGGTTTAAATTCATGCATGTTTGCATGTTTTTCATATTCATGAAAATTGGTTTGAATTGAGTTGTTTGAAACACCTTTGGACTTTGATTTTACAATTAAGCTTTGGAATCATGTTAAAGTAGGAGTTTTGATGTGTTTTCTGAAAAATTGGCCCAAGAGGATCGAATTTATGGTTTAAAACTTGGTTTTGAGCTTGAGGTTCAAATCTGGAATTTCCAGAATTTGGACTCACGCTCGAGAGGGGTGACTGGCGCTCGAGCGTGGAAATCGTGCTCCTAGCATTTTGTTCTGTTTTGAAGTCCGCTCGAGCGGAAGAATTGACGCTCGAGCGGGACATTATGTCTCGTGCTCGAGCGGGTGTCGAGCGCCCAATCGAACGTGATTTTCACCTATCCAGCACTTTTGACTGTTTTGCAGAACGCTCGAGCGGGTAAGTCTACGCTCGAGCGGAAACCTTTGTCTGCATGTCCGCTCGAGCGGAGTAACCTACGCTCGAGCGTGACCCCTGTTTTCTGAAAATTCTAAAAATGTTTTTAAAGTGCATCTTTACATCCTCATCCCATCCTAGGCGTTCTTAGGCCTAGTTTAAGGCATCTTAACGAGGATATAGATGTAGAACACATCGAGGCAAATTAGGGATTAAGTTATTATTTTCCCAACTGTATAGCTTAGTGTGTGTTCAATCTGTAAACTGTGTAGGGTTGGCGACTGGGGACGCGCTCTAGCCTTACTGTAGCCCAGAACTCTGTGAGTAACAACTGTGTAAAGATATATTCAAAATGATTATCTTCTGAACAATTGAACTGTACTGCTTTCTGAACTGTTACTGTTAATTGAATGAATGTATGTCCTATATTCTGAACTGTATTGTGGCATCCTTAGCAACTACTATTTACTGTTACTGTTACAGAGATCTCTGTCGGTTCCCTTGTTGGAACCACTACTGTTACTGATTGATGGCCATCATTTACTGTTCAGTCTTTTAAGACCTACTGTTTACTGCACTGTTATGCTAATGGATGTACCACATATGACTGTATCGACTGAACGACTGAAATACTGATTTAATAAACTGTTTTCATTACTGTAAGGACATTCATTCTTAACCCCTTTACGCATTGTGTTATTTACTGGGCTTTAGCTCACTGCTCATATATATATGTAGGTGTACAGGCACCAGACCGCAGCTAGAAGCGTCGGGGTAAGCTCCACTTTTGTCGAGCCAACCTATGAGCCTCAATGCGAGGTTCCGAACCTGTCAAGTTTTGGCTTAAGGGTGTTTTTAATTTCCCCCTTCGGTCTCTGTAACTGTTTTGTTACTGTACTGTACTGTTTAATAGGGATTAGGTCCCTGAACTGAATGATTGTATATATGTACATACTGTTTTGTTCGACTGTATATATATGAATGATAATCTTTTCTATGTTTTCATCATAAACGCTACATTTAACTTTAGTCAGAGACAAGCAGATCATTCAATGACCTTGACCACCCCCTCCCAGCATTTTCTATAAAATGTGATGGTGAATCTGTCTGGAACTTAGGGCCTTGTTACCCATCTCTGCATAAGCCTCACAACCCTCCACATCATCAAAGGGCCTTTACAACCAATCACATATCGCCTCACAACCCTCCACATCATCAAAGGGCCTTTACAACCAATCACATATCCGTAGGGACTCTTTGAAAGGAGACTCTGCCTAGCATCCATCAAAACAAATGCAGTTCCATGAAAAGCACGTTTCAGAACTTTTCAGCTGCTAATCCAATTGCTTCCTCCTCCTTAGCAACCCTTTTAACACCAGTATAAAACTGGTGCTTATACTTCTCACGTTTTCAACCATGCCAACAACCCAAGTGAATAGTTTACATTAATATACCAAATCAGAAGTTGCCAACTAAATGAGTAGGTGAAATCGCCGTCTCCAAGTAATTGTACTACCAATGATAACATGGGAAATGGGTTCTACTTCTGTCAACATTAGAAGGTTTATGACGAAGGCGAACCTACCTCCCATTGCATAGCATGCCCACTGGATGCCAAAAAACAAAGCATTATTTGGGAGCGGTTTTCATTCAAAACCCTTTTTTAACAAATAAACCATTCACACGGCTTTCAATCTAAGAAACATGGACACGAGAAACTACACGGGCACGCGACGCGACAATTTTCAAAAAATGTACACCATTCAAATATTCCTATAATCATTCAAATATTTATTTATTTTTTTAAATACAACATAACACTAATTCTTATAAATCCGCATTATTGTTCTTCTATCATTGTATCTTAAGATATTTTATTCAAACTTATAATTAACTTTATGTATGTTTTAAACAATGGATTCCAAGTGTCCAAAGCGTTTCCAAAATCACGAAAAATGAAAATCAGAATAAAAAAGAATCTGATCTTTTACTCTTTCTATTTTATAATTTGGAGTGCGTTCAATTTTATTTTTTTTCAAGTATCGCGGAGCAAGAATTGTAGAGGTGTTTTTTCCAGCTTTCATACAACTATACCCTTGGTGTAAGTTTCTGTTTATCTTTTCAGATAATATTGTGGAACTTAAAGCAAGGTGGACTACATTAAGAAGTGGATAATTTCAAAGTTATATAATTGATTCTAATGTTGTAAAATTGTAAAGGCTGCTACCAAATTGGTTGGCTCACAAAAAGCCCACAAAAAAGAGCCACATTGTTCCTAAACCATGAATTCAAGGAGAGGGGAGGGGAGGGGAGGGAAACTGTATTGCATTTCAAAACAGAGATAAAGAAAGTGTTCCAAATTCATTAAGCAACTGGTCTGAATGAAACTGTCATTCCAAATTCCCACATGATATTAAATGAAACAATGAGTCATTATTAATGACACAGAAAATTTATCAAAAAGACTTTTCCATAGTTACACTTAAGAAAATTCCCGTCAATTAGCATATATGAAGACAATGAAAAATGATGAAACATTCAATTCTCAGCGAGTCACACCAACACACACACACACAAAACACACACTAGTACTCTGATCTGGAAACTGTAGAGCGTAGATGGTCGCACAATGCCAATGACAATGGCAATAATGGTGAACACGAAAAAGAAAACAAATTGACAATCAATGTGTAATCCGAATGCTAAACGGTTCTCATCTCATCGAAAATCTGACCTGAAATATATATTGAAGAATGCTCAACTTTCAAGAACCCTAGAGTTTGCAGACACAGATCGCCAAGGATTTGGAGGATTTTATATACCCAAAATCCTCTCTTTCTGCTGTACTTGAGATTAATTTAGAGGATTTCATATAAACAAAAAAAATAGAAACTATAATCAATACATACATATATATATATATATAATAACTGATTAAGGAAATCGCAAGGGAGAGAGAACATTACCTTTAAACAACACGAAGCTTCGCAGAATCGCAGAATCGTAGAGTAAGAAGTAGTCCTAGAAGCATTAGAAGCATTGTCGTTGATCATCACAATGAGAGGAAAAATAGGAAACAGATTTGGGAGTGGGTTTGGTGAAAAATAAGGGCGCCAGATTTTAGCGCAAAAAATCTGGGTCTTTTCATTTTAATATAATTGATAGCATTATATTTTTATTTATAGCATTTATACACTGTAATTAAAATCTTGAATTTACAGAATATTTCACAACATGTATGAAAAGCTATTAAAATTATTAACAATGATTGGTAGTCCGAATTTTCATAGTCAGAATGGCTCGAATGTTTCAAAATGACTTTTTTTTGGGGGTAAAACGACGTCGTTTTTGATACATTCGAGCCATTCGGGCTATACAAATTCGAGTTACGAAATATTTTTGAAAAATTATATCAAATGTTATAAAAACTGAAATGTTATATTTTATTACAAAATGCCACAAATGCATCACATTTCATGATTTCATAGCATTTTTAAAAGAATGTTATAAAAAAAAAATAAAAAAAATTATTGTAGTGTATCTAAATTAAGTGTAAATATAAGAGGAAATATAATTTTGTCTCTCAAGCTATCACGTGTTTTTCACGTTGACCCCCATACTGCGATTTATTTTAATTTAGTATTTGAACTTTTCACAAATTAGTCAATTAGACTCCTGCCATCCCCTTTTGTCTACAATTGGACAGAATGTGCTAACGTGGCATTTAAAATTTCATTTACCCCCCAAACTATACCTTACAAAATCAATTTACCTCCTAAATTAAAAATCAATTTGCCCCCCAAACTACAATTTAAAAATCAATTTGCTCCCCACATCAGCACATTCCGTCCAATTGTGGACGGAAGGTGACGACAGGAGTTTAATTGATCAATTTGTGGAAAGTTCAGATTCTAAATTGAAATAAATCGAAATATGAGGGTCAACGTGAAAAACATGTGATAGTTTTTTTTTTTTTTTGGGGGGGGGGGGAAGCAAAGTATATAAAATTTGTGTTTTTGTTTTCTTAATGTTGTATGTGTGTGTGTGCGCACGTTGTTTAAAAAAATCAATGTTCTTCAAATTTTTATTATATTATCAGGTTCTGTACCTTTTTTTATTTTTTTTGGGTAGTCTTATGTAGTCTGAAATTTGTGTGTGTATTTAAAAAAAAAAAGTATTCTTAAATCCATTGTGACATCATGATTTGAATATTTGAAGTATTTAGGAAATGTTTAAAATAAGTAAGAATAAAAAATTGTAAAATTCTATTTTCGAATAAATAAGTATGGCACATTTACATCCTCTGTACAAGTTTAATTTACAAAAACTATAAATAAAAAAAACTATACACTCCATATCACACCGGCTAATGCCCTAACATGCCCCTAGTCCCACAACCCCGACCGTGGACCTCCCTCCTCGGTCTCCTGCGGTAGACTCTCTGAATATCTGGCTCCCCCAATCGTAAATGCGTATCCCGTGGCACTCCCTCTCCTGCATGTGCTGCCCTTGATCCTGTCTCTGGCCGAAGATCGGATACTGCTGTGAGCTGTGAAACTCCCTCATCTGGTGCAACTGTATCACGATCTGCAGCTGGACCTCGACCTCTACCTCTACCCGCACCTTGACCTCGGCCGCGACGTCCGCCATGACCATAACCTCGGCCTCTCCCTCGCGCTCTGGAGGGGGGGGGCTCAATATGGGCCTCATCCTCAACGTGGGAGATGTCAGTGAGAACTG